GGGAAATGAAACTATCAACAAAATGAAAAGGCAACATACCAAATGGGAGAAAATATTTGCAAATCATACATCTGATAAGGGGTTAACATCCAAAATATATAAAGAACTCATACAACTCAATAGCTAACAAACAATCTGATTAAAAAATGTGATGGGAACTAAAAGACATTTTTCCAAAGAAGACATCCAAATGGCCAATAGGTACATGAAAAGGTGCTCAACATCACTAACTATCAGGGAAATGCAAACGAAAACCATAGTGAGATACCACCTCACACCTGTGAGAACGGCTATTATCAAAAATACAACAAATAACAAGTGTTGGAGAGGATGTGGAGAAAAAGGAACCCTGGTGCACTGTTGGTGGGAATGTATACTGGTACAGCCACTATGGAAAACAGTACAGAGGTTCCTCAAAACATTAAAAATAGAACTATCATATGATCCAGCAATTCCACTTCTGGGTATTTATCCAAAGGAAACAAAATTACTATCTCAAAAAGATACTTGCACCCCCATGTTCACTGAAGCATTATTTACAATAGCCAAGGCAGGGAAGCAACCTAAGCGTCCATCAACAGATGAAAAGACAAAGAAAATGTTGTGTATGTATGTACAATGGAATATTATTCAGCCATAGAAAAGACAGAAATCCTGCCATTTGCAACAACATGGATGGACCTTGAGAGCATTATGCTAAGTGAAATAAGTCAGAGAGAGAAAGATAAATACTATAGGATCTCTCTCATATGTGGAATCTAAAAAAATAAACCCAAACTCATAGATAACAGAGAGCAGATTGGTGGTTGCCAGAGGAGGGAGGTGGGGAGTGGTTAAAAGAGTGAAGGGGGTCAAAAGGTACAAACTTTCAGTTATAAAATAAATAAGTCCTGGGGATGTAGTGTACAGCATGGTGACTACAGGTAATACTACTGTGTTGCATATTTGAAAGTTGCTAAGAGAGTAGATCTTAAAAGTTCTCATCACAAGAAAAAAAATTTGTAACTATGTGTGGTGATGGATGTTAACTAAACTTTATTTTTTAAAAAAAGAAAGAAAATTAGCATTAGGCTGAAATACAACAAATCTCTCATTACTTCACCTTAAAAAAAAAAGTAAAAGAGTTTTCCAGGTTTAAAAAAAACAACTGCAAAGTAAATAAAGCAACAACACTGAAAAATAAAGTTTTTAACTTAGGGGAAACGGCACCCTGACTCTAATGTCCCAAGCATAGAGTTTTCCACAAGGTTATGTAGCATACCTGGAGTGAAAGATATAATTTGGTAGCATACCTGAAATTCTCAGTTGAAGAGCTGTTATCTGTTTGCTCCTCACAGCCAAGTATTTCTGGCATCTTATACATGTCATCTGTATGCTTTGCATCTCTGCCTACTTTTAGTCTGGATGATCTCCTTAACACACATGGAGAGTTCTGGTCAGAGCTATTTTCCACTGGATTTGAATTTCCCTTATTATTTAGTGGATTACAAGAGGTGACATTTTGATTAACCAAAGCTTGCAATTCAAATGGATTTGGGTCTTCTACAGTCTGTAATAAGATATAAACATACAAATAATTACAACAATGCAAAAAAAAAAAATTAAAACTAGAAGGAATTAGGTTTTATCTTGTCCTTTGATTACATGAAAATGCCTCTTATAAGATGAAAGTACAAAAACTCACGGACATGTGAACATAATGAAAAGTTTTATAATAATTAATATAATAAAAGACAACGCAGATTTAAAAGCCTAAGACAAGAAGAGCATAAGTAAAAATTCTTTTATCAATATTCATCCTTAAAGTTCAAGGGCAAACGTAAGGTCACTCTGGGTGCTTTAATTTCACAGGAAATGGGTAGCATAGAATAATAAGAGATATATAAAAACAGTAGAAATGTCATACTAGGCCAGATCAGTGTTCTATTCAGCCTAGTATTTTGTTATTTGACAGCAGCAGTGAGTAATATTTTATGGGACAAGATAGTACATAACCTCCATTACATTGATTTTAAAAGGTTAACAGTATACCATGAATGGCTCTAACTTCCCCTTAATAATCCATATAGATTTAACTTTCATGAAGATACATATTTTTTATACAAATCATGTAAACCTTTCTTAAGGTTATTTATAGATCTAGCTTGCAAAGTTTTTCAAGATAAGTTCCATATTTTTATTACAGCTGAGTAAAAGAGTATTTAATTTGATTTGTTCTAAATTAATCTCCTTTCTACTTTTAAAAGGGTTTTTTCTTTTTTGAAAACTTGCTAAGTTCACGCTCACTTTATCAATATCAATCATAATTTCCTACACTTTACTCTATTACCTCTTTTTAGATTAGAAAACTCGAATGTTTAATTTAATCTTCATTCCCTATCCCCATGATTAGTTTCTCTTTTTACGGATATATTTTTTAGTCCTCTTATGTCTGTTTTGAGATTTTCGTTTTGAGACTTTTTGACCAGAATTACATGCAATATTATTCCAGGTGTGTATGAGGTTAGTACCAAGTTATTTAAATCTTTCCAGGGGTGTTCATAGGAACATTTTGGTAATAGCCAGAAGGAAAAAAAAAAAAGAAAGAAAACAATTCAAATGACCATCATTAGTGAATTGGTTAAACTATATTATATATATATAATAAATTATATTTTATATATATATACATATTTGTGTACATACACACATAATATATTCATACAGTGGAATACCATTCAGCAAGTAAAGATTTAAGTAGTGCTACATCTGCTGACACAGAAAGATAACTAAGATGTACTATTAAATTTAAAAAACAAGTTGCAAAGCACTATGTATAATATAATCCCATTTATATAAAATAAACTTACATAGAATATGCATAGAAAAAACTGGAGACAGATACACCAAACTGTTAATGTTAACAGTGGTTATCTCTGGAAAGTGGAATTGTGAGGGACCTTTTCTTAACATATTATTATGTATTGCTATAATGTTTGAATTTTTTTAAAAAGAGGATACATTACTACTGTACTCAGGAAAAAAATAAAGATTATTTTTAAAAGTAAAAAAACTGTCAACATGAAAAAGGAACTTGGCAAGTGGCAGGCCAGTGCAAGGGTCTCCAGGTATTCTAAACCCTAGGAACTACACGAACTACACCACCTGACAGTATCCTCAGACACAGAATGCAAAGTTCTGCTGAAGTCAGGCATAATTTCTTTCCCTCTCCTGGCAGCTCAACTGCCTGTATTCTACGTTCAACTGGAGGCTAATGTGGGGTATTTCGTCTCCAGTTGGCACCTAGGTAGACATAGTGATTTTCTGAGCTAACAAGAGAAATTCTGGTAAAGAATTCTTTCCTTCTTATATATAGGGAATCTAATGATGTATCTTTTCAGGTCTTCTGGGGAGAAACTTATCTAGTTTAACTTTTTAACCCTTTGAAAACTCTACCCTAGGAACCTCTAAAAAAAAATCACTGTATGCTCCGAAGTCAAAAAATATCTTTTGAGTGTTGATATTTGCGTAGATATTTTGAATTTAAAATAAAGTATACGGGCAACAAAGGCTTATTAAAGGTCACTATAAAAGGCAAAATCAGACTCATAGTGGCACTTACCTGCTGCACTGAAAGATGTTTGTCCTCTGGCTCAGCTAACTTGGAATCTTGTTCAAATGGTGGAGTAGAACAAAGAGACTGAAAATTCACCTCTGCTATTTGTGTACAATCTTCATCAGTCTGAGACATATTGGGCTCCACTCCTAAACACTGAATTTCAGCATTGAGACTGCTGCCTCCCTTTTTTCTGTGACAGATGGGTCCCACCTTGGTTTCTGACAATGTGTTTAGGGCTGCTAACAATTCAGCTGGCAATGCATCATCCTTTGTGTTTTCTAGTAAATCTCTGTGACATGTGAAAGGGAATGATGTGGAACTTGAAGAGTTGCTGAATGGGTTCCTCAACTCTCTAGGTTCAAAATCACTCATTGTTTCAAACAATCTGTCCTCCTGGGTGATTTCTGGTGATGTCAGTAACTTTTCTAAGGCAGACACAAAAGTTTCAAGAGAACTTTCCTCATCCTTGGTGTCTTCAGAAGTCATGGTCAACGTGATGGCCTTTCCAGGCTCAGAAAATATATTTGGTGCTGCTGACATCTCCTCTGGCTCTAGTAACGATTTCTCCTTTGCAGCAACCACATCAGATACCTTAATAGCAGTACCTGAGAGAAGGCAAATTTCAGGAGAGTCTTGGTCTGCACTTAGTTCCTGTGTATTCCAAACAGAAATTTCATCATTACAGCATATACAAAAATTTGTTTAAAATGAAAACTTGACAGTTTTCTAGTTTATCATGTTGGTAAGTTACCACCAAAAAGTTTTATCAACTTTCCTTCCCTTCCATAAATAAAAATACTCTTTACTACTTTCCTATACCAAATCACTAATGACTCTGAACACATGGTTAAACACTTACTAGTGGACCAAGGGTAAAATTAGCTGGACCATAATTATAGATGGCAAATTATCTGTTCAGCTAAGTTTAAATTATTTGTGCTAAGGGAAGAGGCAGAGGTGGCATGGATAGTTAAATTAACAGATGATCTCAAAACTTCACTGCAGTTAATGGTTGTAAAATTCTTCGTTGCCAAAAATCTGTATTGAATTTTATAAAAATTATTAGCCAGGAATAAAATTGATTAGTTTCATCTTCTTTTTATTCCCCACTTCTATATGAATATATAAATGTGAAGTAAAAAGGCCAAATGACAGGAGGCCAAAGGGAAAAAGAAGAGAAATGAAGACACAGTTCTATGCAAATATTATGAACCCTGGCTATAAAACAATGGTTCTGAGTTGTGGTTGTTTTAAACAAAAAACACAAAACTTACATTTCTAAATGACTATTATTTTTCAAAGACATCACCTTAATAGGTTATACCTGTTCCCACAATGTTTCCGATGATCAAAATATTATTAGACTTTTTTTTTTTTTTTTGGTGAGGAAGATTGGCCCTGAGCTAACATCTGTTGCCAATCTCCCTCTTTTTGCTTGAGGAAGACTGTTGCTGAGCTAACATCTGTGCCCATCTTCTTCTATTTTGTATGTGGGACGCCAACACAGCACAGTTTGATAAGCAGTATGTAGGTCGGCACCCAGGATCCAAAATCCACGAACCCAGGCCACTAAAGCAGAGTGTGCGAACTTCACCACTACACCACTTGGCGGGCCCCTAGACTTCTTTGAAAATTGCTTCTAAATCCATTTATAAGCCATTCAAGAAAATCAGTCTTGATACTTTTAAGGCACTGAACTTTTTTCAATATTAAAACTGTTAATTTGCTTGACCTTAAATAACAGAATGGGTTTTAATAACTTTTGGCTGTTTCTAAAAATCAAATCCACCTTCCACTGACACCACTCTGACAGAATGCACTAATATTCTAATATTCTGATTCAATTGAATTCGAGAAGTGAAAACCCTTTTATTCTCCCTCTCCTCCTTTTCTACCTGCCACTATCTTCTCTGTATATAACACACAGAGCTTAGGAAGCTGTATTTATTTAACAGTAATTCAAACTATAATTTGCTCAGAAAGATAAAAGGAATTTAGAAGGACTTCAAGAACCAGATCCTCTCCAGTCTTCAAGTCACAGGTCAAGTTCTCCCTCCTATTTGAAGTCCTTATATCTACTAAATTCAAGATGTAATAAAGTACACATATTGGACTCTGCCCTAAATGAATTTAATTTCTAACTGAAGATTGAAGGCAAAAATACATAAGACATTAAATAAAGTACAAATAATGTCAAAAACACTGTATGAACTCAAATCAATGACATAAACCACAGAGCCTACCGTGATACAAGAATAAGTTTTCTTGGGGGGAACAAAGGGAAGCAGTGGAGGGTTTTCACGATTGCTTAAAAAATCCTTGGTTAAACAAAGTTAAACAGGTTTCTTTACCACAAGACTTTTTAGAGCATGTGCATTATAAATCTCTGAGGAGACGTTAGAACACAGTGTTTTCCAAACTTCTTTGTTCAAAAAAGTCCTTTTTTTTTCCTCAGGAGATCTATTAATGTCATAGGATGTAAGTGATTGGGAAATACTGAAATAGCCAGTGAATAATGAATGCTAAAGAGGGAGCAATTACTTTGGTCAAGATCACCAGAGTCATCTGAGACAGACCACAAGGGAGAAGGGACTTGAGCCAGAAATTAAAGATCTGTGAAGGAGTGAAAGAAGGAGAACATGTATTTATTAAGCACCAGCTAGGTGCCAGACACTGAACTACCTTTCGTTGCTCTCAGTCCTCACAATAACCCTGGGAAATGGATTTCACTATCGCTATTTTACACATGTAAATGACACACACCCTTGGAACACACAACTATTTGGTTCCAAATTTTATGCTCTTTCCCTTGCCTTCTGGCTCCTGACTTGAACAAAGGCATGGAGGGGGGAATGTGTAAGATGCAGCTGACATGAAGTAAGGTACAGATATGGTAGGGCTGGCCTGGAGAGGTCCCTGATTGCTTGAGTCAGCTGTGGGCAGAGCCGGGCTCACAGTCCTCTTGATTCCCCACAGCACCAAACAGAAAGCAAAGCCAAAGCAAGCACTCAATACATGGTTACTGATTAGCAACTGGAAGATGGGAAAGCAGTATCTAGCAGGAAACAGTAAAGGAACTAGGGTAATAGACAAACCAATAGAAGGCATTTTTTGCTACATCATCTCAGCAATTAGTTTGATAATAAGTTATATGCTTCTCCTCTAGATAAAGAATAAGGGACTTACAATGCTGGATAAGAAACACAGATCAAAAAAATAAAGAAGAATAAATACTGGAAAGGGTTGTTAGACAAGGAATAGATTTCTTTCTATTGAAATGGTTTAGTCATATTCCTGCCTAGGGGAAGAACCTAAATGGGCTTGACACTTTAATCAATATAATTTTTTTAAAAAGTCTAGGGGTCAGCCCGGTGGTGTAGTGGTTAAGTTTGGGGGCTCCACTTCAGCAGCCCAGGGTCCACAGGTTCAAATCCCAAGCGTGGACCAATGCACTGCTCATCAAGCCATGCTGTAATGGCGTCCCATGTACAAAATGGAGGAAGATGGGCACAGATGTTAACTCAGGGCCAATCTTCCTCAGTAAAAAAGAGGAGGATTGGCAAGAGATGTTACTTCAGGGCCAGTCTTCCTCACACACACAAAAAATCTAAACCTATGATCTGCATAGCTAATCTTTGTTATACAGACTAACCTTTTCTGGATGCGGCAAAACTTCTGGATTTTCAGCCTCAGGCCCTAGAAGATAACAATAGATGTTTTCATTCCAGTTTTATTAAAGCACTAAAAACATACCCTTTCACTCAGCATTTCTTTTTTTGTGTGTGAGGAAGATTAGCCCTGAGCTAACATCTGTTGCCAATCCTTCTCTCTTTACTGAGGAAGATTGGCCCTGGGCTAACATCTGTGCCCATCTTCCTCTACTTTATATGGGACACCACCACAGCATGGCTTGACAAGCGGCACATTGGTCTGCACCTGGGATCCAAACCTGCAAACCCTGGGCCACTAAAGCGGAGTGTACAAACTTAACTGCTACGCCACCAGACCAGCCCTCAGTCAGCATTTTTTAATCATATAACTTGAAATGACTCCCTCAGATATTCATGTGACATATCAAATATTTTATAAGTATTATACCAATTTATTTTTTTTTTATTTTATTTATTTATTTTTCCCCCAAAGCCCCAGCAGATAGTTGCAGGTCATAGCTACACATCCTTCTAGTTGCTGCACGCAGGACGCGGCCTCAGCATGGCCGGAGAAACGATGTGTCGGCGCGTGCCCGGGATTGAACCCGGGCTGCCAGCAGCAGAGCACGCGCACCCAACCACCAAGCCACAGGGCCGGCCCTATACCAATTTATTAATATAAAATTATCAGGGGCTGGCCCCGTGGCATAGTGCTTAAGTTTGGGGTGCTCCATTTCAGTGGCCCGGGTTCGCAGGTTCAAATCCCGGGCGCAGACCTACACCACTCATCAGCCATGCTGTGGCGGCAACCCACATACAAAATAGAGGAAGACTGGCAACAGATGTTAGCTCAAGGCGAATCTTCCTCAGCCAAAAAAAGTATCATTATGTTGACAATAAAATTATAAAAGAAAATTCTTTCATTTCTTAAAATACTTTACATGAAGCCAGGTAAAATATAATTATTTGGAATTAATTTAGCTAAAAACCAACTTCCCTATTTTGGCTGAGTTATTCTAAGTATTTGTAACTACATGAGGAAAAATCATATCTACTTCCTCAGTGTCACTATATCCTCCATTAGAGGTAACAGAATTTAAATGAATTCATGCTGTCGAGTTAGCTGTGAAAAGAAACACCCCAGTAGGGCCAAAAGGAATCAGATGGTCCTAAATTTGACTTCACCCTCACCGTCTACTCCTCACCCTGCCCGCTCTGGGGTGAGCTGGCTGACAGCAACTCACACCAAGTGAAGCTGAAGGAGGATCAAGAAAACAGTATCTGTCCTACTCGCGCCTCCTGCCTCCTACTTTTACCATCAAGGCCCAGGAACTCTGAAGCACTAAGCTAGGAATTCAGGACTCACTGGTATTTCAATCATGTTTGAGCCATTCTTTGGGTTTCTTTTGATTAGGCAACATCTAGAGCTGGTGTATACGCAAGTAATTGTCTGCCGAACCTTAGAATGCATCCTCACAATCAAGACAGGCTTTTCAGGGAGGAAAAATAAGTATAAATATACTTGCTGAGCTTTACATTCTGCAAAGACCTACTGTTTTTTTTTTTGCTTCACCTTTGCCATTTGATGACGAAAAGCTATGAAAATCAGCTAGGAGGGTTAATATCATGGCATTTCACTCCCTCACAGGATCATGAGCAAAAAGTCATAAGAATAAATAATTTCTTACCCTTGCATAAGAATCCTTTGTGTCAAGCAATTATGATATATTACAGTATGTATATCTTGTTACTTAAAATTTTATATCTCTGGTTACTTAAAATTTAATACCAATGAAAGAAATATTTTTAAACAATAGATACATCTTCAATTATCTTTGCAAGGATATATTTTTTTTTTTAATAAACTCAGATCCTTGGGGGAGTTAGAGCTAAAAAACAGAGACGATTTCATCCTCTTCCTCCTTCCCTGAATTGTAAAGAAAGAACCCTCCAGGACATCTTCTTCTATGTTGTTTTTAACCCACCTCATCATCAAAATGATCATTCTTTTATGTCAACAGTTACTTTTTTGTGTGTGTGTGTGTGAGGAAGATCAGCC